CATATCTCTGACAGAGAGTGATTGGAAAAGGTGCTGTCAGGCCAGTGATGGTAGTGCCAGGGTCATCAATTATGTGCTGCTAAAGGGAGAGAGTAATGGGCTTGCTGTACTTTCTGATTAGGACCATGTCCTGTAAACTGTGACTACATCATGTACCTCCATAATTCTTGGCCTTCACCCAGAACATGGGTCTGACTTCTCAGTAGTATGTTAAACACTTCTGGGAGTCAGTATTGACAGGCCTAATCTAGGCATTCTGATTGAAGTACTGTGATGCTAGATGCCTACTATTCCAGTAGGATGTATCAGTGAACTAGGGATTTTATCCAGGGTGAATGCTGACTGATTGAGGTTGTATAGGATCAATAAATTGGCATCTAGACTTACTTTTATGTCAAGGTCTGCTTGTACATAGGCTATGATAGAGGAACATCATCTGCAGATTTTTTGGGCCTTCACCTCATGTGACACATGAAGTAGTCTGGACCCAAGTTTCTTTATCTTTAGGTGGGGTATAGTGGTATCATATTAGTCTGATATGATACCACTATTCCCCACCATTATCAGTTGTCTTGTACCAAAACATTTCTGTAGAAACCATTGCAGATAGGGATGTGTTGTGATGGAATGATCACCTGATCACCAAAATGGAGTTGACGGGAATGGACTAGACCAGAACATTATTGTCTTTTCCTCAAAATACATTTAAAAGTAGAAATTACTGAAGCTGAAAGGCTACATGTGGTTTGAAAAATGCTACATGGGGCCATTTTGCCACAGGGAAGAAAAATAGCCAAGTTGCTGAGTGGCCACTTCATTTGAAAATGAAGTCGAGCACTGTAGACTTCCTATTTGCAGACTTTCTATTTGCAGTTCTATTCTTGGGTCCCGAAAGGAAGCAGAAATTGGATGTCGCTAGGCTAATAATTGAACGTCGCAGGTGACCAGAGGATATGAAGGAAATTGTTGGGTAATGAAAGTGTCCTTCTTTCCTGTTGAGATGGACTTATATAGCTAGACAAGTAGGTGTAAGGCTAAATGAAAACCGGTTTTCCATTTAGTGGTTTCAACCGGTTTTTGAAAGTCTGGTATATTAACGGGGTCTTAGGCTAGGGAATTTGGTGATGTTTTTTTGAGGGGGACTGTTACATTATTATGCCATATGCTTATGTGCTACATGTATTATAAGAGGGCATTGTAATCATGACTTTTAAATGTTCTTGCAGATACCACTTTACATGTAGTGTAGAGAAGAAATGTTGAGTAGATATTTTTAAAAAGGACATAATTATAGCAATCTGATGTAATTATAGCTTACAGATGACTTTATTAGAAAAATTTGTCATCAATTTTTATGTATGTAAAAAGATGAATATTGATTTTGTAATGGTTCCATATTCTTGGCCAAACCCCAACAATTTCATTGTTATTAACTCTCGAGAAAGTTATGTACGTACTAAGACTGAAGAGATGAAAGTGGTCTGTGTTCATCAAAGACTATACCACTAGTTTTATGAGATAAGAATTTGATTGATTGGGAATATAATACAGTCTATTATAGATATTCTTGTATGTTATATTTGTATGTTGAATATATTTAAGATGCAACAATTGTAATGATTTATTCAATGATTTTGTGAAATATCAAATTGTGTGTGAGGATGACATCAAGTCCCATTGCCTTCATGGTTATTGCTTTATTTGCTCTGATTTGTTCCAACATTTTGAAATTAATGACAAATTGTTTGATTGGTTCTGTTGTCCCACTGTGTGTGGTATATGCCAGTTACCACCCTTAACATGTGTGTGGTCCTCTTCTGGAGTCATTTCTAAATAGTCTGGTGTCAGCGTTTGGTGCAGAATGTATACCATGTACCTCTTCCTGCTGGGGGATCTGCCAACCACAAATATGAGGAGGTGGTAGAGGTTGACAGACTTCCACAAACAGAGGTAACATTCAGCTCTGTGTGGTCCCACCAGCCTAGTGCCTATAGTACAGTACTCAGCACCCTGCTTTCATGGGTACTTGAGCAATTATCCAATTGTAGAACAATAGTCCAGCAAAGATGCCATTGTCTCCAGGTAATGACTAATTTGAGGAAAATGTATCTTTCCTTTGTCCAATATTTGTCATTCAGGTGGGGAAAATTGGTCATACATGTACAATGTAAGTTTTTCCACAGAAGTTGCAAATAGAAAAGACGTCTGTATTTATAAATTGCATTATGGAGGTTTGACTGCATAGAATGGGAAGTAAGGTAAGTGCTAGATCCCTTGGGCTGTCCTATGTTGGACATTACTAGTATAATTTTTTCAGTTCTTTCGGTTGTATTTTAGTCCTTTGATTGTACCCCTATTACTATTAGTGAAGGCGTAAACCTAACACAATATGGGTTTCGTAGTGAGAGAATGTCCTAAAGCTAGCTTGCATCCAGGCAAGTTGGGATTGTTGCACATAACTGGCAGTCTTTCTTTTTTTCAGAAAGCTGCTGCAATCCATCCAGAATGATTCGCAAGAATTACAAGAGTATTCCTTCAGAATGTATTTCCATAAAAAGTGAGGCCCCACAACAGGGTATTCTTACCTTACCTTTAGTACCCAGTACCTGTTATTGAATTGCAAATTGGTTTTCTATTTACTTTTGCCTTGGAAAATGACAAAATACATGCATTTCTGTACAGTGGATTTCAGAGACTTTATTAAATTGTATTAATGTCATTATTTTATTCAGGTCAATCAGTAGAAAAATATTGAAACATTTGTAAGATTACTATCAGTACCATAATTCATATGTCAGCATGTATGTCACAGCCACAATTTCCATATGAAGACACATTTTATCAAAATGGTGTCATCATGTTTAGTTTGGTTTACATGTAGCAGTTATTACTATGATTCATCATTTTCATTAAAAGTTAATCTGGAGGGAAATAAACTCCTTCATTACAGATCAGCATTTATGTACAACCTTGAAAATGAACGATCTATTCTGCTGGTAAAAACAACTGGTCTGTATGTGTATGTGTCTTCAGTGTGGTCATGTTGATACAGGTCTGTACCAAGAAGAGAACACATCTGGCAAGTTGGTGACCTTTTTAAATGTCCAGACATCCAGCACCCTATAGGGGTGTTGTGTAAAGTGTCCCAATTAGGTGAGAACAGCTGCCCTTTCTATGGTGGTGATGCATGTATGCTGGGCACTTGGTCTGGCCCTTGGCAACAGGAGCTATCTTTGGGGGTGGGGCCGTGCTTGTGCGCCAGGGTGGGTGTGGCACTAGAGAACCTTCACAAGAAAGTCCTTCTGTTTTGAATGATTAGGGATTTGTATGTAGACATCTTGCCTGGGTGATCCCATCCAAAGATTTACTGGGATACTTATAAAAATATAACTGCATGTTTTCAAATGAATTTCACCACATCCAAAGTTATGTTACCTAAAAAAATTATACATACAGTAATTATTATCAGCACTGTACTGTGTAGCTACATGTAGCTTCTTTAAATTCTTATGGTAAAAGATTTAAAACCTTTAATGTTGCCCTTCAAGTCCAAGTCTCTTGTATCAGGTATCTAATGGGCCACAAGTAAGTTAGTTAGCTGAAATAGCAGAGATAAAGAGATTAACCTATTAGTATTGTACCTAATTTCCCATAAACATAAAAATTGTTTGCAGAATTGTTGCCTAGACATGACCTGAAGCCTGGTCAGGCCACCCGAAATTTCAGTCCTCTTTTGCACCATATGTTTGATACTGTAAATTCATTTACTTTTGAGGTGGTTTTATTTTGTAGAAGGAAGGAAAGGGAGATTTTTTGAAGGGTTTTACATTCACTGATGAAATATTATTTTAGCACAGTAGTCAAACATGGGAGACATATTCACAGTGTCATTAGAGAGTTTGTTGCAAAAATAAAGCTCATAGCAAAAGTTAATAGCTTTACAGTAACTGAGTCAAAGTCCCATTTGTGGACCATGCAGCTGTATGCCACAAATCCACTGTTATGACTGGAAGGCTGGTCTGCTTCTGACCCTCCCTGCTGCACGTGCGGTGAAACGTTCTACCTGGAAAGCGACACACCGGCGGTCCAAATATTTAGGTTATGCTAGGGTATTGTTTCGTACTGGTAGGTACAAAGAGGATCAAGTTCCACCTGCATTAAAGGGCTAACAGAAAAGACAATACAGGCATGT